TACATAAAAATTCATTTTTTTTTGTACTACGCTGTAGGGGTAACGAGGGACTATTTTTTATCTGTTCACCGTCGTCACGTACATTTTTCTCTTCTTATTTATTAGACAGGGGGAATGATTTAATGATCTACGATAAAAAAAAAGATTATCCATGACATGGATGGTGCCATAAATGTTACACAATGACATCTAATTACTTCTCAATTACCGATATGAAACAATCGAGGGCGTTTTCTTGCAGAAATCGTTTTGTAAACAGACGGGTGAATCTAGAATGAAAGTGGAAAGCGAAAGTTCCCTAATCTATCAAACTGGTTACTGCAGCGCATGGCAATTTACTCATGCATTGTAATCTTGATGAAAAGAAATAGGATTTCGGTTTGGGAACATCACTTATGAAATTCACGAACTTCCGCCCACACAACTTGACTAACAGCACGTTAAAGATGTTAAGAAATTGAAAATTTTCTTATCAACTGACACACATCATTTATTATCAGGAAAAAAGTATAAAAATAAAGAGCGAGTAATTTTCTCCGAAATTGACCACAAACCAGTGAAGCAACGTAAGCTTAAATAAAATTTCCACGAAAATTTGAATGTGGTGCTGGAGACTTCCGATCAGAGGCCGCCTTGATCGCCAAACTAAAAACTAATGACTTCTTACCTTGGAAATGTTGGCGGATGGAAGCGAACTTTGAAGTGCACGACAACTGACGGAGAACAACACGAAACGTCCACTAAATTGAAAAAAAATGCCTCTGAGGCCCGTATACGCTATTAGAAGTTGCGAACTACATTTAACCGCTGCTAGTGTTTAGCAAGTAATGGAGGCTTTAATTGTTTAGCTATTAGAGTAATAAAATTTATGATCAACTTAGAATAAAATTATTTCTCAATTCGGCCAAAAATTTTTTTCGCTGTCATTCTCACCCTGATAGCTGTTTCATGCACTCTTACCCATTAATTAATGAGAGCCGCAATTGTGGAGCCGATGCGTGGAACCTACAGCGAGAAACTAGAAGTTTCACCCAAATTCTGAATAGGAGACAAGACAGTTGAGTTCTGGATTGAAATTCAGAATATTGAAGTTATAACTGGATGCATGAAATTCTGAACCTAGGCAGCATGCGCCAGTAGCCCTGAATCTACTAGCAAGTCTGAATATTCATCGTAGCAAGTTCAGCCTGTTGACGTGTTCTTTATGCAACGCTGAACTTTCTTCCTTGCCTAGCGAAGAGTGCAATCTTCAGGCATCCTATGGCGGAACCACTCACTCTCTTAGGATGGTCAACCTGTCTCCAGATATGAAAATTAGGGTGGTGGCAAGACGCTTGGCATGCAATTACAACCTGTTGAAAATTAGTTTTCTTATTTTTATGTTAGCTAATTTTTAGTTTGAATTCTGAATCTAAATATGAATCCAAATTTCTTTTGAAGAATAATTCAACATTGTTTCGCTCATCTTATCAAACTGAGAGTTATTTGGCTTCAGTGAGGAAGAAGTACTGTGTGAATAGGCAATTTCCCTGCCACGTGCTTTTTCGTGCAATTAACGTTTCGGTCTGGTGCGTATAAAGCGACGAGCAGAGTCCCTGATGGAATCAAGTCGAATTCTGCCCTCCCAACAGTCTGCGTTTACAGTTTTTTCCGACGCACTTGTTACTCAGTATAGTTCGAAACAGCAGGTCTACTTCAAAATACAAGAGCAAGAAATTACTACAAGGTTTTTAGAGCTGCAACCTAAATTACTGGAATTTATTGCCGATTTTATTTAAGGAATTGTGCTCTATAAATTTAAATGGAAGCCAGTATCCGTACTGTGTGAATCAATTGCTTGTCAAATGTTTCTTTTTAATTTTTCTATATCAAATCTTAAACTATCTTTTACTATTTTCTCTGTCTAGTGTGCATACCTAAATTACATATTTATAGAATTTTCTTGTTTGCCACCTACCTAATATATTGGCCCGATATCAATAACAAAGAAGCATTTATACCTTAAGTTTTTTAATTCAGTTGTTTCTTTTGCTAAACATTACGTGAAGTATTAGGCTTGGTTCACACTATATTCTGCAGGATATGTGCAAGGCATATGCCAGTCAAGGTCCGTTTCCTACCAAGCATTCACATCTTCAGTCCGGTCACTGGCCGCCGGCCTTAATTCAGTGGGTTTCGTAACACGTGTCTTGCCAGTCACGCAGCGCTGTCAACTGGTATATTTCTAAATTTGTTGAATCTGTTAATCTGTTATGTCGTGATGGTGTCCAGTGTGGATAATTTTGATCTGGTATGTTGAGCTTGCAATCTGGTATACTCGTCAAAAATAGTTAGCAGCGCTGCAGTCACGTTCCGGTCAAAATATCCTGTGCCTTTATCACAGCTGGTGCCTTGCTACAAAATGCACTGCACCACGTAATTTCCTTTAGGTTGGGTAGTGCTGGAGTAAAAGAAAGAAAGAAAAATAAAGAATTTCATTCCTACAAGTTTTAATAGCTACGAGTCTTGCCACAAGATATTTTGCAAGAGCTTGTAAGCAATAGGAAAAGTTCACAACACCATAAAATTCTCTCTCCGAGTCCGCAAAAAAAACTTTACTGCCTGTCGGATGTCAACATAGAGGCTTTGAAACGAAAGGCGCCTGACCCCATTTCCCGGGACGTGAATTTACAATCGCTGCTGGACTAAATGTTACAGTATTTTTGTCTATCGTGTTGAACCTGCATCCGACGATGAGCGTGCATTACATATTCCAATAAATCTTACCTTGTTGCATATTGGCGTTTCAACTTGCGGCGGTTACTTTATGAGCCCTTATATAATTCTTAACTGAAAATTTCTGCGTGCTCGCTGCATATTCTTTGTATCGCGGACGCTGTCAGGTAATTAAAATTGTTATCCCATCATCGATCACTCTGCTAATTTTCAACGCGAATTAACACTAAGTCTTTTCTTAACAAAACATGACGACACAAAGCATCTCAGAAGCGCATATAACGACGGCAGTGAAAGATATTTAATGCAATGCATGTTATCTATCATTGTTGTAGCCAATGTAGCATCAGCATAGATTGGTTGCTGACTAACGTTGGTCGGCAGTTTTATTGACTTCTGAAGCCTAATTTATTCATGTGGCCGTACAAGAACAGAACTAAATTATTTGGCTCGGCTTCCTGCTGATCCAGTTTGACCAACAGCCGGACTACAGCGGTTAAAATTAATTAACCTTAGTCTGAAATTCAACAGAATATTAATTACGACATGAATGGGATCACAGGACGAAACAAGGTGTCAGAAGTACACAATTAATGACCTTCAATACAAGTTTCATCGAAGACCAGAGAGTTTATCTCTTTGACGATTTTTTATTGCTTCTCTATATTAGGCGAATCACGCTTTAAGGGGGATTGAAAATTTAAAGTTTAAAGTTTCCGAGAAACATTTTATTAGATTTACGTTTCGAATATGCAATATTCATTATCAAGTAGGTGAAGAGTTATTTACAACTCTTAAAATTTAAATTTGGAAATGAAAAAAGTGCAAACGAAGGGTATCTTAGATACAGCCAGAAATCGGATCTTAAATAACTCCGGGAGAAACTTCAACGTCCTGACAAATCCGGTGGTTTGCTAACTGATAGCTGGAGACTCGTGCTTGATGATGAGAGCCTCCGCTATCGCCAGTCTCGTAGTATCGGGGCATCGTGTGCTGATGCTGGTGCAGGCGTCGGGGCACCGCATGATGATGCTGGTGCAGGCGTCGGGGCACTGACCTTCAATACAAGTTTCATCGAAGACCAGAGAGTAAATTTTATTAACGATTTTCTTATTGCTCTTCTCTATTTGGCGAATCAGGTTTTGAGGGGGATTGAAAAATTCATATATAAAGTTTCCGAGAGACATTTTATTAGATTTACGACCTTTCAAATATGCAATATCCATTTTCAAGTAAGTGAAGAGTTATTTACAACTCCTACAATTTAAATTTGTATATGACAAAAGTACATACAAATGATATCTTAGATACGGCTAAAAATCGGAAATTGTATAACTACGGAAGAACTTCAACGTCCTGACAAATCCGGTGGTTTGCTAACTGATATCTGGACACTCACCCTTGACGATGAGAGCCTCCGTTATCACCAGTCTCGTAGTATCGGGGCACCGCATGATGATGCTGGTGCAGGCGTCAGGGCACCGCATGATGATGCTGGTACAGGCGTCGGGGCACCGCATGACGATGCTGGTGCAGGCGTCGGGGCACCGCATGATGCTGGTGCAGGCGTCGGGGCACCGCATGATGATGCTGGTGCAGGCGTCGGGGCACCGCATGATGATGCTGGTGCAGGCGTCGGGGCACCGCATGATGTTGCTGGTGCAGGCGTCGGGGAACCGCATGATGATGCTGGTCGCGTTATGAGCCTCCCGCATATGATTCTTTGGTCCTCCAGCTTGCAGGTGGCATGTGAGTCTCCGTCACAATCTCTTCCTTGTCAAACCGATGTACTTTACATTTAGGAGAAAACAAACTTCTTTCGTGTAGAAGAATCTGTAAATGACATTGGTTTCTTGCAACGGTCCAAACTTTTTAAATGGATTTTTTCATGATTAAATTCTTGATTTATTTGTTTTTGTAGTAAATCGAGAGTTTTAATTGTTTACTTACTGTTATGCAGTTGCGCAACAAGGAAAACCAATCCTAATGAATTCTACGCGTGAAGCATATAAACTGCGGCCTCAAGCATTGATATGAATGTTCAAATAAATATTTATCGCACCCTAATGACTTGATCACGAAGTACTTTGCAGGTATAACAAGCCCAATTTGTCATTTAGACATTATATTAAAAAATTATTTAATAAAATTTTTAATTAATTTTTAATTAAAAATTAGTTAATTTTTAATTATTTTAATACATTTTATTAAAAATTTACAAAAAATCCCTTACTTTTATGTCTCCTCGAATTAGTTGATAATTAATTGTTCCATTAACCCCGTAGGTCCGGTGAACCCCGCGACGGCGGTGGCGGGGGAGGCGGCGGTGTTGGCGTGCAACATCTCCTCCCCCGTGGCGGGGGACGCCATCCAGCTGGTGCTCTGGTACAAGGACTTCGTGCCAACACCAATATACAGGTACCTCTATTAGTTAACTCTCTATATCTTCATTCATTTTCATCATTAACTCTTCATCTATTTATATACATATACAGGTACCTCTATTAGTTAACTCTTTAATTATTAATTTTCATCATTACCTCTTCATCTATTTATTCATTTTCATCATTAACTCTTCATCTATTCATTCGTTTTCATCATTAACTTTTCATCTATTTATTCATTTTCATCATTAACTCTTCATCGCTTTATTCGTTTTCATCATTAACTCTCTATCTATTCATTAATTTTTTATTAACTCTCTATCTATTTATTCATTTTTATTAGCTCTCTATTTATTTATTCATTTTCATCATTAACTCTCTATCTATTTATTCATTTCTATTCATTTATCCATTAACCGCTCTTTGTTCATTTTCGTGGGCCTGGTGTCATACCGTCCGTAGAGGTCGTTACGTATAGAATTAAAATGTTCCTAATTCATACAACACTCGTTGTTGTATCTTCTGCGCAGACATAGAATCATAGGCCTTCATTTCTGAACAATCCAAACGAAAAAATGTTACTCGGGGAAAATATATTCTATTTTCATTTCTTCTTGGCAATTATTATTTGAAACTCGATCCTGATTTACTGATAGAATGACGTTGCGATGATGTTGAAGAATTTTTTGCGATGAATTTCCTCTGGCAAAGGCGTCATTTGCGCTAATATCGTTGCATTATTATTTTTAACGATATTATTTTTGAATGCGATAATAATGTTAATTATTATTAAGGGAATTATTATTGCGATTATTCCTTATTTGCGATTAACGGAACGTTATCATCACGTTTTTCACGGGCCTCTATCGACACGATTTGACGATATCATCTTGTTATTGATTGATATAGTTCTGCTATCATCATGTCATATTTGGGGTTCAGTCAACACGTCATTCGGGTGAACCCGAGTCTTATTGTTCATGTTCTGTGAAGTGCGTGCATTAATGTGATAAACATATGTCATGGAGTGGACTTCAGCCAAACACTGGACGCCAGATGCTCCAATTATAAGTGTAATCTCTTCTCACCATCCCATCATTGCTAATCTCTTCGATGAAAATAATTCACGTGTGTCATTATCAGGAGCTTGAAATTTTATAGTGACGGCTCTGATCGTCACTCTCAGCTGCTGCCAAATGTTTGATGTGTATTTTGCATCATAGATCCATTTATCTGGCCACGGGTTTAAAGAACCATATCGAATCTAAATAATTAAACCAGAGAGCTAAAAATACCTACGGATATCGCTCCCAGTTTTTAGTTAGAAACTGAAATTCAAAAAGAGATTGGTCGAGATCAGTATCGTCAGATCGCAGGTTTATCATGAGTGTCAGAAGTGATCAACCTTTTTTGATTTCATTGTATTGGGAAGAGAAATCGATGCAACACTTCTCTGAGTGTGAGGATTATATCATTTAAATCTGTAATAGGATGAATTAAGGTTTGTTTGTTCAATCGCGTCTTTACAATTCCCTATCATATTGTAATGTCTATGATCACGTTTCCATGCTTTGACATTGATTTTTTTATAATAATGGAACAACAGGGCATCGCAAAACGAGTTGTGATTGAAAAATTGAAATTGCACGTTCATAGTATTAAATCAAATCGAAGATGCAAGGAAGACGATTTTGTCGGTGATTCTATATAGGAGATTAAATGCTAATAGGAGATTAAATGTCTTAAATGTAAGGCTTAACACATTGAATTAATATTAGAAAATGCTAATCAGATCCGGGAGATATGGTTTATCAAATTTCAGAGATGATCTCGTGTAAGTAACGCCGATATCGCCCGCTTAGTACAAATAAATAATATAAATGTGAATTTCGTTCAATTTTCAGACGGTATTTAACTTTTAAAATTAATACAATTTTCTTTTTGAGAAAATTTAGAAAATCTATTTTACGACATTAGCGCCTTACGTTAAATCAATGAATAATTACTGAAGCATGTTCAAGAAATTGATAGTTCACAGCTATAGATTACTGGTTGCTGGAAAATCAATGCAGACGTTCAGTGAGGTGTGAAAGAAGCCACATCAATCAATGGAAGGGGCTGAGCCTGACGCTTCGGCTCTTCTCGAGTTGTGATGAGATACGTACAACAGCCTGCAGAGTTACGGCTCTTCTCGAGTTGTGATGAGATACGTCCCAGCAGGCATCTGACGTTGAAACAACGTTGATTATTGGTTGATTTCAGGTTGAAATGTTGAACAACCAAAATTAAACGTCATATCAACGTCGAAATCTGACCAACACTAAAAGGGACGTAAAATTCATCTTGTTATTGATTGATATAGTTCTGCTATCATCATGTCATATTTGGGGTTCAGTCAACACGTCATTATATGATATCATCATGTACATGTATATGATGGAGTTCCTTCGTCACGTTAGGATTTCCACCAGCCATATGAAGACCCAAGCGCTAGGCTTGTCGCAAATGAATCAAACTATTTGATTTAATATTATTATTTACTTAAATTCATGAGTCCTAAACAGTAGCCTTAAAATGCACCTACCACAAGTAATGACATGTTTTCCCGACTCCGAGTTCTGAAGAATCAACTCTGATTTGTTTTGTAACACTCGTGTAGTAATTCGCTTGGGTTCTCTACATCAGCTTTGGCACATCACATGCAGGAGATAGATCACGAGTTCCCACATAATCTTTATTACAAACGATATATGGATCAGAAGGAGACTTCTGCCGAGGATAAGATCGTAAAGTCCGCAACACTTAATATCTAAAATAACTCGTCCCTAGTAAGTTCCGGTCCGCAATAAAGTTACATCCGTAATGTCGGGATAACCGCTATTTTGTAGCATAAATGACTAAATCCTTACAACTCGTATTCGCGTAACTATCGTAGGTTCTCATATTGCAGTAATCATAGCGACTGTCTCTTATACACATCTAGATGTGTATAAGAGACAGGGCGTCGGGGCACCGCATGATGATGCTGGTGCAGGCGTCGGGGCACCGCATGATGATGCTGGTGCAGGCGTCGGGGCACCGCATGATGATGCTGGTGCAGGCGTCGGGGCACCGCATGATG